AAGGGACACTGAGGCACAGAGTGACTGCCCCAAAGCTCCTCCAGGAGCTGCCAGGGCAGGGTGAGGCTGCTCCTGGCACCAGAGGAGGGCAGAGGGGCTGTGGGTGCAGATCCCTGCCCTTGCCCCACCTGCCCAACCCAACCCACCACTCCCGTGGGCAAACACCTCTTTGTGCCATGTGCACCAGGCTGGAATGATGATCTTGGCACAAATCCTTTTTATGCAAATAAATCCCTATTAACAGGCACAGGCTGCAGGGGCTAATCCAGGAGGGAGCTTTGTGGGGCCCCGAGGAGCTCGGGCACCCCAGGGTGGGCACTGCCCCCTCCAACAGCACCAAAAAAGGGTCAGCCCTGCCAGTCCACATGCCAAACCTGCACGGGGGGAACGTCTCTGCAGCCGAGTTCAGACGTGGCCCAAGTATGCCTTGAAGAAAAAATAATCAGTGGGGTGTTCTTTGAGCCAGCTGGTGCCCTTTCAACAATGTCTAATTGGTTATCTTTTCTCTTTCCTAAGGTCAGAACATTTTATCTCTGTCTCTGCCCTTTCTGTGCTTACCCCACCCTGAGTTATTTTTTAGGGCAGCCATTGTAGCAGAAGAATAGCCTCTCTCCTCCATAGTCCGGTGACACAATGAGACTTCTTGAAACCTCCTGAATAGATAAAGTGCAGTGGCAAAAGGAAAATTCTATTAACGCTTTGCAAAATAAAACATCTAAGAGCTGGTGAGACGAGAGGGAGAAGAAAATCAATATGGAGAGGGCAGAAAAACTTTTCACCAGTTGCAAAAAGGTGGCGAGGGTATGGGAGGGAGGGGGGAGAGAGAAACTTATTAATGCARAAAACCCATCAATGGTATGGAAATCTGGCAGAACAGCAAGAACTCCAACTAGAAGAATTTGAATGTACAAAGGGCTGAATAGAATGAGCAAACCACACTGCCTCACACACACAGCCCGTTTCTCACGGTTCTCTGTGAAGCAAACACAAGCGGCTTGTTCAAGTTTTCATCAAGGAGAAAGAAGGGACACAGTCAAGGTAACCGACAGTAAACCCTGTAGTAAGCAAATTGATCCCTATTTCAGGGCAAGGGAAAAAAAAAATAAAAAAAAAAACAACCCACAGGCGAAACTCAAGTACATTCAGGGGCTGAGTGTCCAAATTAACCCCCTCACCCAGAGCTTTAAAAATGCTCAGCTGAAAGTTTTCCAGGTCTAAGCTCAAAATACACAGCTCATATTTTGTGTACAAGAGACAAGGACCCAGCAGAGCCAGGGATGCCCCAGGGCACTCAGAAATCACAGAGCAGCCCAAACCCAACCTCTGTCAGATGGAGAAAATGGTTCCACATGTATGGATATGGATATGGATATGGATATGGATATGGATATGGGTATGGATATGGATATGGGATATGGATATGGATCTTAAAAGAACCTGATTGATCTGGACTCATTCTGCATGTCAAGTGAGTTACAAGTCTTAAGGCAACCAAAAAAAAAAGAAAACAAAGATTTTCCTGTGAATACTGGTTACAAATGGACATTTAAGCCCCCCAGACTCCTCTGTCCCAGCACAGCCCATCCATACAGCCAGTGCAGACCCAGTTTCTTACATAAATCCTAACTAATGGGCTTCAGTTTATTTAACTTCTTTTTTTCCCAATCCACTTGGGGCTCTGAGAAAAGGAAGGCCTCTACCACTTCATTACTCACTGCCTGGAAGGAGGAATAGGGGAGAATAGGAGGAAAGAAAAAAAACCTGGAGGAACCAAAGGCTTTAATAATCCTAACAGTTCCCAGGGTTATTTAAAATATGCCCAACCAGTTCACAAAAGGCTCCACGGAGATAAATGTATTTGATTTTCTTCCACTTTAATGGAGGCATACATTTAAAGCAACAAAACCAGGGTGACCTAAATAAAATGACTATTAATTGTACTCYGAAAGGCTCTGAATTTAATGCAAGTGATCTAGCCCAGCACAAGAACACACAGAATTCTCCAGTCATTCCTCCTACTTTCCTCTTTGGGATTTTCAGCTCCTTTCCACAAGGAGCTGATCAGACCCAGCACAACCCATGGCCACTCACACCATAACCAACAGGCTGATTTCT